CCTCCGACAGCTCTGCCGAGTCCCTCCTGGGCAGGTTTCCCCACAGGCCGGAGGCCAGCATTTGTGTTCATCACTAGACAAGAGCACGGCCTGAATTTTTACCTGCACAGTTTGAATTGCGCAGTGAAGTGGTTTCTTACACGGCTGCAATGGGGCATTAGCTCAGCAAGCTCAGGCAGGGGAGGATTCAGCTCTCCAGCCTGGGGATTTCCAGGGTGAGACACTTTCCTCTCCTGAACCAGAGCTCACTGGATCTAAATCCTTGTTACCTACGCCCACCCCCTGGTGAATGACACTGGTGCAGGGGGCCTTCCTGTCAGGAGCAGAGCCAGGGGTGAGAGGAAGTGTGGCCAGGGTGGTCTTGTATTGGTGATTCCCTTCTGCTGCAATGGGCGATTGCATCGAGGGTGCAAACTAAGGCAGTTCTGAATGCTGCTCTAGCCAGCTGTCACGAGGTGACACTCGCCTGGGCCAGCCCTCATCTCCACTGCGGAGCAGTTCCCCACTGAGAGCTATTTTCACGGGCAATCAATGCACATATCACAGGAGCTACCATCCAAACACAGTGGCTCCTACTTATTCATCCATCACCAATACAGTTAGAACACATGGACCAACTTGGATCAAATAAGAAGTGGGTGAACCTTCATCCAAACCCTGAAATTATGATCAATGTGGCTATTAAGCCATGTCCAGCACCTTTAAATTGAGAGGTCATTTTGCTCCGAGCTGCTGCAGCATGTTATGGCCCCTCAAACACACTGCACTCTCCCCTGGTGACTTTACCTTTGTTCCTTCTTGTTGTTTCCTGGACTCGGAAATAAAAGTCATTCCCAAGGAGCCTATGGCTGCTGTGTGGGTGGGAAAACAGGCAGAGACAACCCTTCCGAAAGACTCCAGTGATTTCTGGTGTGTTTCCTGTTCAGTTTTTGGCTCCCTTTGCCCTTCCTACTTCCCAAGGGATCTGGAAGGGAAAGGCCTGAAGTATCCCAAGAGCAGCTGTTTGTTTGAAAACTCCATCACAGTCAGAGGTGGGAAATACAGTGGGTGCCAGGCAGAAGAAATCAACATTTACTGCCCGTGGGCAGATGGTGATGTGATGGGGCCTGGGCTATGGCTCTCCATCCTGCCCAACAGCAGGGAGATCAGATCAGCTGAGAGCCATTAGACATTCATGACAGGTTTCAGAGTAGCAGCCCTGTTAGTCTGCATCCGCAAAAAGAAAAGGAGGACTTGCGGCACCTTAGAGACTAACCAATTTATTTGAGCATAAACTTTCGTGAGCTACATTGGATGCATCCGATGCAGTGAGCTGTAGCTCACGAAAGCTCATGCTCAAATAAATGGTTTAGTCTCTAAGGTGCCACAAGTCCTGATTAGACATTCAGCGTATTGACTCCTTCCTGGATTTGTTCACTGCAGATGACGGGCATCCCTGCGCAGAACCGGCCTCAGGCGTAGCTGGCTTCACCGTGACTTTCAAACAACACCTTCCCCAGCTAGTCCTCCTGTGCTGGAGGAGGAGCTCCTCACAGACACCCACAGAGCCACTTCCTTGTCCCCCTAAAGATCTCTCCTTTGCCGGGACACCTACAAACCACTAGACAACGGCTCCACCGCTGCTGTGCTGAGCCCATGGCCTGCCATGCTGACCAGTCGCCTCTGTTGCCTTGCCTGGCTGTGTTCGCCTACTGGCTGTGTTTGTACAGCGCCTGGCACAGCAGGGCCTGTCCAGGCCTGGGGCTCCCAGGAGCTACCATGATTCACAGGTACAGTGGCCTCAGGCTGGCCACCTGCGCAGGCTGCACTTGACCCAGGATGTACAAGTCCTGTTAACCCCAAGCCGCTACAAGAGCCACCGCAGGAAAGCCTCGGACGGGTGACTCCAGCATCCCAGCAGGGCCTCAGCCTAGCTCTGCGGCCTGCTTTCTCCATACACTCCCCTTTCCTCCGGCCTAAATCACCCCAGCCCAAAGCCACTTCCCCACCCAGCCTTCGGTTCTCAGGGTGAGCACAGGGAGTCCAGGTGGGTTGGGTTGGACACTAGACTGGGGCTCAGAAGACCTAGGTTCACTTCCTAGCTTTGCCAGGGGAGACCTGGCGTCACTTCTTTTGCAGTGCTTCAGTTTCTCTACCGGTAGAATAGGGATAATGATAGTGAGTCCCTTGCTAAAGAGCTTTGAGATCTCTGGGTGAAAAGAGCTAGGTGCTATTCTCTTTGTTCAGCTCCCAGCCTGTGTCCCCTGGTGCCAGCCTCTCTGCAGGCTCTGTCCAGAAGAGAGTGATCCTAGCGCATAAGTACCAGGCTGGCTGTGCCTGGAGTAGCCAGCTCCTGTCCTGTGCTGCCAATGATCTGCACCAAACCCTTGCAATGGAGTATTTCATATCAAGGTTCCCTGTCCCAATAATCCAGGAGGAGGCATTTCATGACCAGCTGCCCCGGGCACTAGTCACCACATCCCCAGCCCTGCTGAGCAAGAGCATGGCAGAGCAAGGATTTCGGGATTAATCCCAGCAGTGCTGCTGGAGTTGAGAAGCCCAGCTGGGAATGCTCTGGGCTTCCTAACTGCACCTGAGGTGCTCAAGTGCATTGGGGGCTGGAGCGGCTGAGAGGCTGGAATGGGGTGACAAGCTGGGGAGCTGTGCAGAGAGGAGCTGCCCAGTAGAGGCTGCTTGGCTGAGACTCCTGTTTGTTTTGGAGTTCATGGATCCTGATATTGCATGAAGGGGAAGCAGCTGGAGATTTTGCTCCTGTGTTTTGAATTGATGGTGCTAGATAAAGCCTGGAAATTAAGTTGACATCCCAGAAAGGGTTTTCTCCATGTGATCTGGGGGTCCCTCGAGATCCTGCCCTGGCCCAGCCACGTGTGATGGTCACAGCATCCTGCTCTGTAAATACTGGAAAGTCAGGTATCAAGGGCTGCTAAATTATGATTGTCTTCTAGGTAGCAAACAACACTTCCCCAAAGAGATCGGGGCCCCCTGGCGGAGTGCTGCACAGCCCCCTGTGCCAAAGGGCTTACAGTGTGAACAGACAGAAAGGTGGACAAGGAAGTCAGGATACAGAAAGTAGAGATGACTAACCAAGGGTAGCACAGCTGGTGTGGGGCTAGAACCCAAGTCTGTTGCAGCCCAGTCCTGTAGCCTACCCATAGGTCCATGCTGTCCCCTGCTTCCCCTACCCCAAACAGTCCCTCAGAATCCCTTCCATCAAGATTTTTAGCCCAGTTCTCCAGGCCTAAGACATCAGAGCAAATGAACATAGGGCTGCTTCCCTGGCTGGAACCACCGGGAAGTTTGCCCATCACTCGGTGCCAGGGTAGAATCTGAAGAGCACTAAGACATAAGGCTGGATCCTGACCCATGTTCATGCCCCTGTGCTCTGGGTTAGATACCTCTAGTGTGGGAGACTCCTTGGCTGCCCATCATAGCATCATGAGGCAAACTAGGCTGCATGGTCTAGCGATCTGACCACAGGCCCAGGAGCCAGGACCCTGTGTTGCTCAGCCTGATCCCCCAGTGACGTATCCTTGGGGAAGTCCCCTGGAGCTGCTAGGGAATTGTTTTGGAAAATGCTGATTTGTCAAAACCAAAACTTTTTGCAGGAAAGTGTTTGTTTCAACAGAGCATTCAGCAGGAAGGTCAAGAGCAAGCTCTCAGAATAGTCAATAGCCCATTGGGCTACACACTAGTTCACAGCCATTCTCTGCCTGATTCAATCCATGGCCCCCACCCCCCGCACCTGGGGCAGTGCCTTAGTCATGGAGCTATTGCTCTCCCTGGTTTCTGTCTGCGAAAGATACTTATATGGCCCCATCACCATAACCTCTGAGCACCTGGAGAGCCTGGACGGTAGGGCAGTGATATTCCCCCTACTGCATGGAGGATGGACTGAGACAGAGTCTAAAGCCATCCCCTTCAGTGGATGTGAGGCTCCTAAATACCTTTACATCCCTGTCCCCAAGTGACTTGCCCCAGGGCTCACAGAAAGTCTACAGCAGAGCAGGAAACTGGCCGTGGGCGGGCTCACACCCTGACCACTGGCTAACCCATCCTCTTAGAATCATAGAATATCAGGATTGGAAGGGACCTCAGGAGGTCATCTAGTCCAACCCCCTGCTCACAGCAGCACCAATCCCCAACTAAAGCATCCCAGCCAGGGCTTTGTCAAGCCTGACCTTAAAAACCACAAAGGAAGGAGATTCCACCACCTCCCTAGGGAACTCATTCCAGTGCTTTACCACCCTCCTGGTGAAATAGTGTTTCTTAATATCCAACCTAGACCTCACCCACTGCAACTTGAGACCATTACTCCTTGTTCTGTCATCAGCTACCACTGAGAACAGTCTAGATCCATCCTCTTTGGAACCCCCTTTCAGGTAGTTGAAAGCAGCTATCAAATCCCCCCTCATTCTTCTCTTCTGCAGACTAAACAATCCTAGTTCCCTCAGCCTTTCCTCATAAGTCATGTGTTCCAGTCCCCTAATCATTTTTGTTGCCCTCCACTGGACTCTTTCCAATTTTTCCACATCCTTCTTGTAGGGGCCCAAAACTGGACACAGTACTCCAGATGAGGCCTCACCAGTGTCGAATAGAGGGGAACGATCACGTCCCTCGATCTGCTGGCAATGCCCCTACTTATACAGCCCAAAATGCCATTGGCCTTCTTGGCAACAAGGGCACACTGTTGACTCATATCCAGCTTCTCGTCCACTGTAACCCTAGGTCCTTTTCTGCAGAACTGCTGCCGAGCCATTCGGTCCCTAGTCTGTAGCGGTGCATGGGATTCTTCCGTCCTAAGTGCAGGACTCTGCACTTGTCCTGTTGAACCTCATCAGATTTCTTTTGGCCCAATCCTCTAATTTGTCAAGGCCATGTCTGGCTGTTTGGGGAGGCACAGCCTCCCTAAACCTATGCGACTGCTACCCATGCTCCCAGGCCCACACTCTGACCGCCCCGGGACCAAGCTGGGAGGAATTGGGCTACGGTGACTCCAGAGATGGACACAGGGGCCAGAGTGCTTTTATTCCCCATTGCTGGGCCAGGCCACTGCTACGTCCAGAGCCTCGGTAACACCCACACCAGAGCACCCCACGGCCACCACCCACGGGTCCACGGCCTCCTCGGGCCCATGTGGAGCGTGGGTGTCCTGCCCCACAACGGGCCAGTGAGAGACAGGACAGCAGGTGACCTGAGTCAGGCACAGGCTAGCCCAGGGGAGAGGTGGGGTGCCCGGCTGCCGGGGGGCAGGCCTCGCCCAGGGGTCCAGCGGTGCTATAGGTACTTGTAGATGACCCTCTCGGGCAGGGTCTGCACTTCCAGCCGGACGGGGCACTTGTAGAGGAAGGAGAGCAGCGTCTCGGTGTAGCCCACCAGGAAGTAGAACTTGTAGGGCGGCAGGCGCTGCAGGAAGACGGCGCAGACGACCAGCACGTTGGCGCGGTGCTTCAGCACAATCTCGTTGGCCAGGCAGCCGTGGAAGGTGCCGTAGATGAACTTGCGGATGAAGACGTCCTCCACGGTGTGCTCGGCCACCCCGCCCTCCCCGTCCAGGTTACCTGCAGGGCAGACAGGGCAGCGGGGGGTGAGGGGACAGCACCAGGTGCCCCATGCCCACAGGGCACCTTTAAGAGATGGTACGAGCAGCACCAGCCAGAGCAGGGGGCTGCATGGGTGTCCGGCCAGGCACTGCATCAGGATCTGGCCACGGAACACACATCTGCCGGGGGACAGGGACTCCTGCTCCCTCCCCTCCCCCATGCCTGGAGAAGAGCTCGGGGAGGGAGAACGGCCCATGCCCAGGTTGAAGACCCCTCACCCCCTTTTGTTAAGTCAGAGGGGCCACACAAAAGGGATGCTGTGGGGAGCGGGGCAGGAGCACTGGTTGTGGGGGGAGCTCCCAGCTATTCCAGCCCTGGCCTCTCCCAGCGGGGGGCACTGTAGGGAGCAATGCAGGAACACTGGCTGTGGGGGGGAGTGCCTCTCCCAGTAGGGGGTGCTCTGGGGGGGTGGGGCAGGAATGCTGGCTGTGGGGGAGCTCCTGGCTTTTCCAGCCCTGGCCTTGTTGTAGTAGGATTTTATGTTTGCATTTTGTATAATTTAAAATAAAAAAATAATAATGTAGCATGTATTACATTTATTGATGTATGATTTGACTATATTTTGCCAGCTATTCTTTTTGAAAGCAGAAAGGAATGGCCTAATGGGCCATTGGTAAAGATGCATCAGCCAGAATTTGTATCGGAGCTGATTTTAAGGCAGTAACAGACCTCTTAGGGTTACCATTTTGTTGTAGGTTTAGTATTTTAAAATAAGTAAAAAAATGCAATGACTTGGGTTTTTTTGCATTGCAATTTGATGTTTTTGTGTAAATGCTTTGTGTAAATTAATTCTGTGTTGTGTGTAAATGAGGAACATGTGTGTTAAGAAATAAGTGTAAAGGCCATTGCTGAACCAGATGTTTTAGGGAAAAACCGAGATGTCAGGGCACCAGGAAGCTGCAATACGCCTGTGTCAGAGAAGGGCAGATTGACGACTTTAAAAATAAGACCGGCACCTATCAATGGGGACAAGATAGCCGTGATTAAAACCAGAATGGGGTAACCTTTTAAAAGACTTAATAAAAAATAAAAATAAAAAAAACAATGTAAGAAAACAAGCACTCGTCAAAAAACAACTGATTACAGCATGATGGGAAAATCACTATGGAAACAGGGGGCCTGGCCATGAAACTTTGGGTTCATCCTGCCAAGACTCTGTGTGTGTGTGTTTAAATGCATATGCTAATTGTTGCATTTTTAATAAACAGGGTGTATTGCTCTTTCCCCTGAAAAAGATCCTGTGTGCTTCTTATAAGCATAACTGCCTCTCCCAGCAGAGGGCACTGTGGGGAGCGGGGCAGGAGCACTGGCTGGAGGGGAGCTCCTGGCTACTCCAGTCCCAGCCTCTCCCAGCAGAAGGCATGGTGGGGAGCAGGGCAGGCACTGAGAGACGGGGAAGCCCAGGTTCCCCCAGGGCAGCAGCTGGCGGGTCACTCACTGGTGTGCAGGGAGAGCCAGCCCTTGCGATGGGCAATGTAGTGGGGCGGGTGGGCCTGTTCGTACGTCACCGGCTTGTCTCCTTTCCCGACTCGCACTCGGGCCGCCTGGTTCTTCTTTTCACACTGTTGCTATGTCGAATGGGGGCAGCACAGAAATTCAGTGAGTCCTGCCTTGTGGTGAGTGACCTAGAGGCTGGTTTATTTATAGTCCTGAAACCAAAGTGGAACCAGAGCACCAGCGAACTTCACATCATTTTAGTTCAAACAAAATACTCTGTAATATTCTTTCATCATCTGTCTGTTTGGGCAGAATTAGAGACCCCGGCTCCATGTTTAATAGAAACCAGAGAAAGCTGATCTCTCTGAAATCTCTCTGAAATACTGTTTAACACACACAGATTTTAAGTGTTGCCATCACGTCTGTTTGGGGAACTCTCCTGTTTCCTCAGCAGCGTGTGACTGCAACTCATAGCCAGGCATGCACCTGCTGGGGAAACGAGAGGTGACTGGTGACCCTGGCTGAACGCTTTCAGATGTTGTTAATAATTTAATGATTTGCATGGCGCCTTACACAGTAAGTGGGATCTTTCCTCCAGATCACTCCATTCAAAGTACCATCACAAATTGGTTTGGACAGAGGTGCTGAAGCTGGGCGGGGAGGGCTGCCACACCCCCTGGCTTGAAGTGGTTTCCATCATATCCAGGGTTTACAGTTTGGGTCAGTGGCTCTCAGCACCCCCACTATACAAATTGTTCCAGCACCCCTGGGTTTGGAATTGCCTTCTTTGGGCACCCAAAGCTTTGGAAGTTCTGGATGCTCAAGGGATGCAGGACTATTCACCACCAATAAATCCCAGTTCAGAAAGCCAGGCCACACGCACTGGACTAGGCTGTGTAAAAAGCCATTGTAGTGTATTCATAGAATCATAGAATCATAGAATATCAGGGTTGGAAGGGACCCCAGAAGGTCATCTAGTCCAACCCCCTGCTCGAAGCAGGACCAATTCCCAGTTAAATCATCCCAGCCAGGGCTTTGTCAAGCCTGACCTTAAAAACCTCTAAGGAAGGAGATTCTACCACCTCCCTAGGTAACGCATTCCAGTGTTTCACCACCCTCTTAGTGAAAAAGTTTTTCCTAATATCCAATCTAAACCTCCCCCACTGCAGCTTGAGACCATTACTCCTCGTTCTGTCATCTGATACCATTGAGAACAGTCTAGAGCCATCCTCTTTGGAACCCCCTTTCAGGTAGTTGAAAGCAGCTATCAAATCCCCCCTCATTCTTCTCTTCTGCAGGCTAAACAATCCCAGCTCCCTCAGCCTCTCCTCATAACTCATGTGTTCCAGACCCCTAATCATTTTTGTTGCCCTTCGCTGGACTCTCTCCAATTTATCCACATCCTTCTTGAAGTGTGGGGCCCAAAACTGGACACAGTACTCCAGATGAGGCCTCACCAATGTCGAATAGAGGGGAACGATCACGTCCCTCGATCTGCTCGCTATGCCCCTACTTATACATCCCAAAATGCCATTGGCCTTCTTGGCAACAAGGGCACACTGCTGACTCATATCCAGCTTCTCGTCCACTGTCACCCCTAGGTCCTTTTCTGCAGAACTGCTGCCTAGCCATTCGGTCCCTAGTCTGTAGCTGTGCATTGGGTTCTTCCGTCCTAAGTGCAGGACCCTGCACTTATCCTTATTGAACCTCATCAGATTTCTTTTGGCCCAATCCTCCAATTTGTCTAGGTCCTTCTGTATCCTATCCCTCCCCTCCAGCGTATCTACCATTCCTCCCAGTTTAGTATCATCCGCAAATTTGCTGAGAGTGCAATCCACACCATCCTCCAGATCATTTATGAAGATATTGAACAAAACCGGCCCCAGGACCGACCCTTGGGGCACTCCACTTGATACCGGCTGCCAACTAGACATGGAGCCATTGATCTCTACCCGTTGAGCCCGACAATCTAGCCAGCTTTCTACCCACCTTATAGTGCATTCATCCAGCCCATACTTCCTTAACTTGCTGACAAGAATACTGTGGGAGACCGTGTCAAAAGCTTTGCTAAAGTCAAGAAACAATACATCCACTGCTTTCCCTTCATCCACAGAACCAGTAATCTCATCATAAAAGGCGATTAGATTAGTCAGGCATGACCTTCCCTTGGTGAATCCATGCTGGCTGTTCCTGATCACTTTCCTCTCATGCAAGTGCTTCAGGACTGATTCTTTGAGGACCTGCTCCATGATTTTTCCAGGGACTGAGGTGAGGCTGACTGGCCTGTAGTTCCCAGGATCCTCCTTCTTCCTTTTTTTAAAGATTGGCACTACATTAGCCTTTTTCCAGTCATCCGGGACTTCCCCGGTTCGCCACGAACCGTATTGGAACTGGGGAGCTTCCCTTTCCATAGTTTGGAAGCCCTCTGCTGTTAGGTTCTGGTGGCTTTTGCATTAGAAGAGGGAGGCTCACTAGAGAGGTCCCAGACTAGTTAAAGGGATACTCGCCGATTCCTCTATGCTCATCCAGCCACCGGGTTGTGGGTTTGCAAACCTCGAATTTAAATTAGAGATGCCTCCACTGATTATTCGCATTATGGCAGCACAGCAGGGTCCCAATGGAGATCAGGGCCCCATCATGCTGGGTGCTGTGCACGCTCTTAGTGAGAGACAGCCCCTGCCCTGCACAGCTTCTGATTAAATAGACAAGGCAGATGAAGGGTGACGGGCAGGAAGAATTGCTATCCCCATTTTACACACGGAGAGCTGAGGCCAGAGCAATCAGGATCCCATTTTATTTGAACTCAAGCAGCTTTGCATTTATGGTGCTATTCTTGGGCAATACGATGAGATAACTAGCACTGTGGCTATGGGGAAAGTGGTGGATGTGATATACCTTGACTTTAGCAAAGCTTTTGATACAGTCTCACACAGTATTCTTGCCAGCAAGTTAAAAAAGTATGGATTGGATGAATGGACTATAAGGTGGATAGAAAGCTGGCTAGATCGTTGGGCTCAACGGGTGGTGATCAACGGCTCAATGTCTAGTTAGCAGCCAGTATCAAGCAGAGTGCCCCAGGGGTCGGTCCTGGGGTCGGTTTTGTTCAACATCTTCATTCATGATCTGGACGACGGGATGGATTGCACCCTCAGCAAGTTCATGGATGACACTAAGCTGGGGGGAGAGATAGATACACTGGAGGGTAGGGATAGGGTCCAGAGTGACCTAGACAAATTGGATGATTGGGCCAAAAGAAATCTGATGAGTTTCAACAAGGACAAGTGCAGAGTCCTGCACTTAGGATGGAAGAATCCCATGCACCGCTACAGGCTGGAGACCAACTGGCTATGCGGCAGTTCTGCAGAAAAGGACCTGGGGATTGCAGTGGATGAGAAGCTGGATATGAGTCAACAGTGTGCCCTTGTTGCCAAGAAGACTAATGGCATATTGGGCTGCATTAGTAGGAGCATTGCCAGCAGGTCGAGGGAAGTGATTATTCCCCTCTATTCGGCACTGGTGAGGCCACAGCTGGAGTATTGTGTCCAGCTCTGGGCCCCCCACTACAGAAAGGATGTGGACAAATTGGAGAGAGTCCAGTGGAGGGCAACACAAATGAGTCCATGCTCAAATAAATTGGTTAGTCTCTAAGGTGCCACAAGTACTCCTTTTCTTTTTACAAATGATTAGGGGGCTGGGGCACATGACTTATGAGGAGAGGCTGAGGGGACTGGGCTTATTTAGTCTGCGGAAGAGAAGAATGAGGGGGGATTTGATAGCTGCTTTCAACTACCTGAAAGGGGGTTCCAAAGAGGATGGAGCTCGGCTGTTCTCAGTGGTAGCAGATGACAGAACAAGGAGCAACGGTCTCAAGTTGCAGTGTGAGAGATCTAAGTTGGATATTAGGGAAAACTATTTCACTAGGAGGGTGGTGAAGCACCGGAATGGGTTCCCTAGGGAGGAAGTAGAATCTCCATCCTGAGAGGTTTTTAAGATCAGGCTTGACAAAGCCCTAGCTGGGATGATTTATTTGGGGTTGGTCCTGCTTTAAGCAGGGGGTTGGTCTAGATGACCTCCTGAGATCTCTTCCAACCCTAATCTTCTATGATTCTATGATATCTGGTGCTATTCTTAACTCAGCTCGGTCTCACCCATTAAGTATTAGAACGGAAAAGAGCTGTGAGAGTCATTCAAAACACACCTCTGGAACCCCCTTGTCCACCACCTGCTAGTGCAGGGTCCCTCGTTCCTGTGCATTGGGTCATGCTTTGTCCATGCCAGACTTCACTGGGCCAAGCAATGAGAACTGCCCCTGGAGACCATCCCCCACCCTAGCACATCACCCAGATGGGAAGTTCTTACTGATGGTCCCAGTCTTGATTACATCCCCATGCTCCCTGTATCAGCCCCTTGTGCCACCTTGAAGAATTCTCTCCTTCCTCATTCTAATCCGCACCAATCATCTTGTGCCAAGCTGTCATTTAATTGAGCAACTGGCCAGTCAGTGCATCCTGCCCCTGAACTATGTTGTTGCTTTTCTCTGAATTAAGGGCAACCTCTTACTCTTTTCTGGCACTGAGGTGCCCAGAAAAGTATGCCATTCTGGAGTGATCTCTGGGAAATGCAGCCAAGGGCTGGGGCCAGGCAAGTGGGAACAGGAGGGGAGCAGGGGCCTGGCAAGTGGAAATGGAGCCTGGAGCTGGGAAGGTGAAGGTATCCCCTGCCTGGGGGTGATCACTACGCCCAGAGAATGGCTGTGCACACAGCAATGGGAAGGCTGCTGTGAGGGACCTTCTCAGACTATCTGGCTCCATCCTGAGATCTTTGTAATCTTCTCTTTGTTTGACTAGCAGCCAAGTGCTGGCAGAGCAAACCCACCAGTGCTTGGAGGTTCTGCTCAACTCAGAGCCAGGTTTCAACCCCCCACTTTCCAGAGTCCCAGGGGACCATGAGCATGGGCTTGGCCCAACCCTACTGGAGGCATAAGTCTGCTCTGGAACATAAAACTACTGACAGTGTCTGCATTTTTATGTGGCCACCAGCCCCTTAAAGACCAGAATGACAACGAATGAAACCTGCAATGCTCCTGTGTGAGGCCCCTAGGCAACGAAAGAGAAAATGAAATAAAAATAGTAACATCCGTGTAGCACCCTCCCCCAGGAAGCTGTTAATGGTGGAGCACAGTCAGGGATGCATCATTATCACAAGAAAGAAATCTGGGATCAGAGGAGCCTCATTAAAGAAAAATGCCACATTCCCCAGGAGAGAGTGGCAATTAGACTGCAAATGAATCAAGAGAGACCAAAAGCTGCTCATGCACCGTCCTGTCAGTGCAGGAGCACAAAGGCTTCTCCTCTTCTGCAAAGGACTGGGCTGGTTTAGAGCCCATGTGGGGCTATGTTCCTGAACAGGCTGGGGTGGATGGGTGTGCCTCTGGAACTGGAGCGGGAATGTAGGCCAAACGGGGGATGGAAAGGGGGAAAGCAGCACCTCTCTGCCTGCAGCCCTCACACTGCCACACTGGGCCTGACTTCTCTCACAGAGACTCGGTGCAGCAATTTTCAGTGACTATTGTGCGTGTGAAGAGACAGACAAATACCCCAGGGCGAGCACCAGGCAGAGCCCAGACAGGTGATGTACACGCTACTCCCACCCAGCTCTGCAGCCTCCTGCTATTCCAGCCTGGTCTTCCCACAGCCCCCCTCCCCCACTATTCCATCTATGCTCCCCCCAAGCTCTGCCAATGCCCAGCAGCCACCCTGCGCTCCCCATCCTCAGCTCTGCCGATACCCCCGAGTTCCAACCCACAGGCCCCTGCTATTCCAGCCCTGGGCTCTCTACACACAGCTCTGCCAGTGACCTCCATCCCAGCCTGCAGACCTCTGTTATCCCAGCCCTGGGCTCTCATCACACAAAGCTCCTCAGAGGAACCTCAGTCCTAACCTGCTGCACCCTCATCTGTCCCAGGAATGAACATTGGCCAAGTGTGCTACGTCACCTCCGTTTTGATCCGCCTTGTGTCCTAACCACAACAGAGGCAACTCTCATTTGCCTGAAGGGCAGAACCCGGCGGTTGGCATGTGAGGATCTGTGGAGACGATTTGCTTTTGAAGAACAAATTGTCACACAAATCCTAGTGATTAACTTGCTCAGATTATAAATCCCCTAAACATGTTGAGAAGGCAAAGTGACTTCTCAAAATACTGAAGTCAGTTACCTGTTCCTAACAGACGTGAAACAGACTCAACCCAATGGCAATCCCAATCCCTCCTTTCCTGCCCTGTCCCAGCCCCATTCACATCAGAAAGCACCCGGGTCCATCATCCCTTGGGATGCTCTGTGTCCGTGCTTTGTTTGAAATGGTACATTGCTCTTTTTTTTCAGCAGCAATATTAAACAAGCCCAAGGATTTAGTCCCAGATCCACAGAGGTATTTTGGCTCCTAACTTTCATTGAAATCAATGAAACTTGAGATCATAAATCCCTTTGAGGATTGGGCCTCAGGACAGGGGAAGCTGCCAGTCTCTGGGGCTTGCACACTGGCTAGAGCTTTTGGTTTCAGGTGTGTGGTTTCACAAATGTTTCCCCACTTTTGCAAAATAAAATGTAACCTTGTTTTTCAAGGGACGTTTCCTGTTTGAAACCCCACCCTCAAAGTGTTTCAACGGAAATGAAACCCCCGCTGGGTGCAGACAAAGATTTGTGCTTGAAAGGGTTTCCTGTTTGGCTCTTGAGGGCAAGCAGGGGACTAACATCAAATGAATACCAGCAGTAGCTGAGGGCTTGTGCCTGACTAGAATCAGTGGAGCTCCAGCTGAAGAAGCATCAGCCAGTGCCTTCAAGGGACAGGCCTTGCTAGGTGCTAACTTAACATCTGATAGAGAGTTGTGAGCGGGCAAAACTCCCAGTGTCCTGAGGCCTAGATGAAAGCTGATCCATGCACTTGCACCAAAAGAACTCACTCAGTTGCAGTTCACAGCTCAGTGATTTCCCTGCAAATTCGAGAGGGGGGACACTATATTATTTCAGATTAAGAGCATCCTATTTGGATGCAGTTTATCACCAGGTTTTAGCAATTTAAGCCAAACTGAAAGAAGCCTCCTCTTAACTGGAGAGAAGAGCATCTGCTCGTGGGATTAGTGACATTGGCTTTTAAACTGATTTAAGGGAAACTGCTGTTACAGTCTCAGGCAGACAGACCTAGATCATCAAAAGTATTCAGGCTCCTAACTTCCCCTGATCCACAAGGCCTCACTGAGGGGCTCTGATGCAGCATGTTGAGTGTGCAGGTCTGAACCAATTAATTCTCCTGACCAGCACCTCCTAAACAGGATCAGAACCTCATCCCTGTTGTGTGGTTGAGTCTGGGAAACAGAGGGGTGAGCTGATTTGCCCAAGGTCACGGACAGGAAGAGATCTCCTAAGATTCTTACTCCAAGGCCCAGCTGTGTGAGCTCTATCCCTCTGGGCACCTCTATCTCCAGGACTGACCTTGTCTCCGTCAGCTGTGTCTGAGCACCTCACAATTGGTAATGGCTTTATCCTCACCCCCCCCCGAGAGCAGGGCAGTGCTCCTATCCCCAATTGTACAGAGCAGGGATTGAGACCCAAAGCAACTGCGTGACTGGCCCAAGTACACAGGATTTGAGGGTAGAGCAGTGGAATGAACTTGGCTCTCCCAAGACCCAAGCGAGGGCCTGCACCACTGAACCATTCTTCCTCACACTCATCCAAGAGAAAAAGCCTGGGAACTAGCGACACACCCAGTCCATAAAGCTGAGATCTGAGACCACTGAGGCAGGCAGACAGAGCAGCCTGACGATGCTGTGGTTTTGGCCAGCTCCGACTCTCTGCCATCAGGAACAGGAGCACGAGAACAGGAGCACTGACAAGCCCCTAAAAACCTGAGGATCTGGGCCACGGTCCTTTGGTTTGGTTAAGCTCCTGCTGGCCTTTATGCTACTAAACATCTTGCGGCTCCCATGAACCAATGTTCCCTCTAATTTTTAAAAAAGCCGGAGTGTTGCTGCCGAAGCACAAAAAAAAAAAAAGGCCCCCCGAAGCCGGAATGCGCGCGGGGTTTAATATCTGTGAGCGCGCGCACACGCACTGCTTAAGAGGGAACAGTGCCATGGACCCTGCCCATTTCTGGCCCTTCTGCCCTGTGAATAAGGCACCGGGCTCTTGTTCATCCCACAGGTGCCGCAAGGCAGGGTTCGTGCCCTTCCGAGGCCTGCCCGCCGCAGAGACGAGGCCTTGGCCTGCCTGAGCATCCGGGACAGTCCCCAGATAGAAAGAGGTGAAACTCCTCTGCTCTGTGAGTCCCTGGGAACGATTCCCGGGGCCCAGCCCTTGAATACAACTTCTCAGACCATCAGTCTCAGTGATTATTTCTATTGCTCTTGTTCCTCACAGCCCCAGACCTGGACCAGGCTCAGTACTGGGTTTACAGTGGCGCCATGGTGCCAGGCCCAGACTTCAAAGGGCCCCCGGCCCGGCCCGGTCCAGCCCGCTCTGCTGTGTTGCGTCCTGAGGCCCCCAGCCCGCTGGCTCCTCTCCACCCCCTGGTCCTCCCCACTGCCCACCGCTCACTCCTGGTGGCTCGCAGTCCAGCCAAGGGCTCCTCTATACCTGCTGGTCGGACCCCAGTGCAGTTCTGGCTCTGGTTAGTCTCTGCTGCCCACCACCTGTGGGGGCCCCGCCTGCCTCCCTGGAGCCGAGTGGCCTGGGACCAATGGAGAAGTGAAGCCAGTCTCAGCCAGTGCAGGGGGGCAGTGGCAGGGGGGACTTGGCAGTTGGCTGGGTCCCTCCAGGTAGGGTGACCTAACTGACCAGCCAGGGGCTCGCCCAAGCTGCCCCCTGCGGCCCGCAGGACTTGCCAGAATCACCGCCACCCAGGGCTGAACCCCCATCAGATCCATGCCCTGTGCTACTCAGAGCTGAGGTTGGGGCTGAGAGCCCCCCCACAACTGTGCACCACTGCTCCAGGGCTGGGGCAGGGGCTGACCTCTGTCCCTGCTCCCAGCTCCGCACGCCACTGCCCAGGGCTCACCTGAGCTCCTTGCACTGCTGCCTGGGGCTAGGACTGACCCCACCCCCTGAGCTCCGCTGACCCCCCGCAGCCCCACTGCCTGGACCTCACATCGCTGCCCCACCCCATGTTCCTGCAAGCCCCGCTAAGGGGGTGTACCCGGTATGACATTGCATTCTATATGATTTTATGAAAATACGCTAATGAGTATGAATATAATTTAACTAGAATATGCTTCATGCAAAAGGTCTCTTGTAAGGTATCATTACAAAGCTTATAATCTACTGAGTGTGGTCATCCTATTTGTATAAATGTATCACTTGTATCTGAAACTAGAAATATGAAATATAAGTCTGAGGGCCTATTGTAATTATGCAAAGTGTGGGCCATTAATGGTGGTTTGGAATCTTGATGGCTCCCATCAACTAGGACAATCGACTATAGATGGCTCTGTTTACTTGTAAGTCTTCCTGTGTACCTGTCTTACAGTGACATGTGTTCATGGCAGCTGAACTGGAATCCATCTTTAACCTGGTGCTTTTCCATTTAGAAGGAGGGGTGGGAACCCAGAGAGGGACAAAGGATTCCCGCCTTGTGCAAAAGCTATATAAGGAAGTGGAACAGAACAAAGGGGGCGTCAGTCATGAGAAATCCCCTACCTACCACCTGAGCTAGAACAAAGGCTGTACCAGGGGAAAGACTAGGAAGGCATCCAGTCTGTGATAGAAGCTTATTGAAACATCTCTGAAGGTGAGATTTTGTCTGTATTGAGTTTTCTTACTGTATTAGGTTTAGACTTGCATGTTTTATTTTATTTTGCTTGGTAATTCACTTTGTTCTGTCCGTTATTACTTGGAACCACTTAAATCCTACTTTTCGTATTTAATAAAATCACTTTTTACTTATTAATTAACCCAGAGTATCTGTTAATACCGGGGGGGGGGGGACAGCTGTGCATATTTCTCTATCAGTGTTATAGAGGGTGAACAATTTATGAGTTTACCATATATAAGCTTTATACAGGGTAAAATGGATTTATTTGGGGTTTGGACCCCACTGGGAGCTGGGCATCTGAGTGTTGGAGATAGGAGCACTTCTTAAGCTGTTTTCAGTTAAGCCTGCAGCTTTTGGGGAGGATGTTGTTCAGACCTGGGTCTGTGTTTGCAGCAGGCCAGGGTGTCTGGCTCAAACCAGGCAGGGCACTGGAGTCCCAGGCTGGCAGGGAAAACGGGTTTAGAGGTAGTCTCAGCACATCAGTTGGCAGTTCCCAAGGGGGTTTCTGGGATCCAGCCCGTCACACCCAGCTTTTTTGATATACAACATTTGTTCATTTGCTCTTGCCAATGGGACAAATGCCCTGGTCACCCTACCTCCAGGCAAGTGGGTCCTGAGGGAGCCCGGCTGGGGTTGGGGCAGGCCCTGGCCTGGACGATCACGCAGCTCCTGAGAGGCCAGAGCGATTCCCCACCCCAGGACCAGGCTGGCTCCAGCTGCACTGCCAGCTTAGCCTGGCAGACACAGTCACCTTCCAGCAGGGCTGGTGAGTGTGGCCGGGGGGCAGGCAGGGGGAGTGGGTCTCTGGAGGGGCCTATGGTGGTGGGGTGCTGGGCTGTGAGGGGGCACTGGGCAGTTGGGGGCTCTGTGTGGGGGCTGTGTAGTTGTGGTGGTGGGGCTGTGGGGAAGGGCAGTGGGGGGTGGGGGAGAGCTGCGTTTTGGAATGCTAGGGAGTGGGGGTTCTATGAGGGGTGCTGGGCAGTTGTGGGGGGCTATGGGGGTGCTTGGCAGTAGTGGTGGGGCTGTGGGTGGGGGGCACTGGGCAGGGGTAGTGGTGTGCAGGGCGCTGTGCATTCGTGGGGAGCCTGTGGGGGAGCACTCGGCATAGCGGGTCTGGAGGCTGTTGGGCAGAGGGGTTGTGTGGCATGGCATGGGCCTGCCCCCAAAGGGAAGGGTCATGCTGGCAGCACAAGCCTGGGTGGGCCAGGGTATCTCTGGCGATTGCTGGTTTGTAAACAGTGCCCTTGCACTGGGCTGGGCAGGACGGGGCCACCCCTGCCATGTCATGCCCCATTGCCCCTGGCCAGCCCTTCGATTCAGGGACTGACCTCCCTGCACCATGCTCCATTGCTCCCATAAGTAAGTCCACAAATAAGTTTGGCAGTGGGTCCACAAATGGTTAATCAGGCCCTGGCCCTGCCCCATGGGCCCCTTTGACTTGCTTCCCCTGCGTTCTTGGGCTGAAGTATCCATCACTCCTTACAGCCCAAGTGAGCAGTCCTGGGAGAGTCATAGACTCACAGACTTTAAGGTCAGAAGGGACCATTATGATCATCTAGTCCGACCTCCTGCACAACGCAGGCCACAGAATCTCACCCACCCACTCCTGTAACAAACCCCTAAACTATGTCTGAGCTATTGAAGTCCTCAAATCATGGTTTAAAGACTTCAAGGTGCAGAGAATCCTTCAGCAAGTGACCTGTCCTCCACGCTGCAGAGAAAGGTGAAAAACCTCCAGGGCCTCTGCCAATCTGCCGTGGAGGAAAATTCCTTCCTAACCCCAAATATGGCGATCAGCTAAACCCTGAGCATGTGGGCAAGGCTCACCAGCCAGACACCCAGGAAAGAATTCTCTGTAGTAACTCAGATCCCACCCCATCTAACATCCCATCACAGGCCATTGGGCATATCTACCGCTAATAGTCAAAGATCAATTAATTGCCAAAATTAGGCTATCCCATCGTAACATCCCTGCCATAAACTTATCAAGCTTAGTCTTGAAGCCAGATATGTCTCTTGCCCCCACTGCTTCCCTTGGAAGGCTGCTCCAGAACTTCACTCCTCTGATGGTTAGAAACCTTCATCTAGAATCATAGAATATCAGGGTTGGAAGGGACCTCAGGAGGTCATCTAGTCCAACCCCCTGCTCAAAGCAGGACCAATCCCCAACTACTTTCAAGTCTAAACTTCCTGATGGCCAGTTTATAGCCATTTGTTCTTGTGTCCACATTGGTACTGAGCTTAAATAATTCCTCTCCCTCCCTGGTATTTATCCCTCTGATATATTTATAGAGAGCAATCATATCTCCCCTCAGCCTTCTTTTGGTTAGGTTAAACAAGCCAAGCTCCTTGAGTCTCCTTTCATAAAACAGGTTTTCCATTCTTTGGATCATCCTAGTAGCCCTTCTCTGTACCTCTTTCAGTTTGAATTCAGAAAGGTAGGACTGGCCACTGGCTTCTGGGAGAGCTGC